CTGAGTAATATTTTTTCATGAAAAGGGATGCGGTAGGCCAAATAAGTTTGAGAACCTCTGGTCTAAAGCGTAGTGATAGATTCAAACCTGACTTGATTGTGATGCTACTGCTCGAACGCATCCTGCGATCATACCTGGAGCTAAGTCTTAACTCGAGTTAAGGAGAACCAAAATAAAACACAATTAAAATAATCGATACCGTTTGACAAACATTTCCAACAGATGATACAGATTTCTAGTACGTCATCAAATAATTGTTCTATTAACATGCTGGCTCTTTTTTTTTTCTCTTAAAGAATAACAAAATTATTAAAGAATAGCAGATTTATACAATATGGACTCAACTTTATCTGTAAAGTGACGATTCTCTTTATAAAGTGTGACACTGTTATTAAAAAAACAACAACTTGTTTTGGAGTAAGCAGATAAGTAAGACGGCACTGGTAGAGCACAAAAGTTCGGGGAAAGGAACAGTACAATTATATCGGACGTGAGCATTCATATAGAAAAATACTCATGGGAAAACGACACAAATTTTGCTGGGAAACAATAATAGAGAAATTACGTTGTAACAATTATAGAGAAGTTGTGAAGTAAAAGTGATAGAAAAGTTATGTTGCAACAATGATAGAGAAGTTATGTTGCAACAATAATAGAGATGTTATGTTGCAACAATGATAGAGATGTTATGTTGAAACAATGATAGAGAAGTTATGTTGAAACAATGATAGAGAAGTTATATTGAAAGAATAATAAAGCAGTTATATTGAAACAATGAGAGAGTAGTTATACTGCAACAACGACAGAGCAGCTTACATTGAAATCAAGAAAGGGCACTAGGATGGGAGCAGTGATAGAAATGTTTCATAAAAGATAACCACAGAGCACGTTATAATCAAACTGAGAGGAACAGGTGGTTATAATCCGAAAACGCAGTGAGTTCAATCCAACAACCCTTAGAAACATGGTTTTCTTATAAATCGTTCATAAAATGTAATTTAGAGCAATAGGGGATTGGGCTGAAGATTTGACAAAACATACATGCAAGTGACGTAATCTATATGAATCCCAATTAGTTTCCTACCCACCCTCTTTTTTTCAAGGCTCGAGACCGCACCTTATTTTTTTTAAGCCCCTGAAATAATATATTAATATTTTAATTACCCACCAGATTTTACACCGCAAATCTAGTACACCAACTATTTCTGAGAACAAAAGAAAATTGAACGCACCAAACTCATTTGCGATACTTTTTTGTTTTTTTCAAAGAGTAGCGCACGTAGGGGGGATTCAGTTCGTGAAATCAGTGGCATCATACTTCCTTCACCTTCCCATTGAAAAAAAAGAGAAAATTAATTATTTTAAAAGTTTTTTTTTTTTTTTTTTTTTTGTTTTTTTTGGGGGGGGGGGGGGTGTATTTTTGGGAGGTGGGGCTGAAAACATGAAAGAATGTGTTGTCATTGGCAACGAGTCTATGTGCCAAGTTTCAGTTTGATACGTTGACCGGAAGTGGGTCAGCTCACCGTGCGAAGATTTGGCCATACACCCAGACAGTGAGAAAGAAACACGAACAAAAGCGAAGTTAATATAAAGGACTTTTAAATAAAGGTATGCTTCATAAAAAAAATTGACTCTGATTCCGAATAATAACGTCAGGAATATTTTTTCCTTTTTTGATGTTTAAGCTATCAATCTGAAAAGTTATTTCTAATTTCAAATTAATCATAATTTGGAATTTGTTGTCTAAAGACTACAGAAAGATTCGGAATGGGTATAATATTTGCGACTCCATATTAAGCCTCACAAAAGAACCTCTGAGATTTGCCTGGAAAAGTGTAGAAAACTTGAAATGAAACATCAACGAAAGATAAGAACATAACAAGTCTATCTCATTTATTTTTCTGATGCAACTTAAGGTCTAGACAGGAATGTACTAAATATGAAATACAAAAATAAATAAATTTTTAAAAAAATTTCAAAAATACATAAGATTTTAGAATGCATTTTTTCCCCTCTTTTCCTTTCAATTTCTGATGAAATACCACAGAAATGTAAATCTTGTCATGGCGTACATAAAAAATGACCAGAGTTATTTCACCCCGCACGATTTCTGATGAAATACTTAAGGAATTTAATTTAAATGTTTTAAAGCTCCTAGTCGTTTATCCTAAGTGATGATCTCATAATGAACATCGGTATTTTGACCACAACGTTAAACAATTATGCTAGGCCAGTGGTCGGCAAGCTCATTAGGCAAAAGAGCAAAAATCAGCAGCCGGACGAATACAATTAATTGTTTTGAGAGGCAAATTTCTTTTCAAGAACCTGTGAAGAATCAATTTTTTTCTGAGTCAAAACCCATTTGTCGCTGACTTGACGAGCCGCACTCAAGTCGCTAAAAGAGGCGCACGCTGCTAGCGAGCCGCGATATGCCGACCACTGTTCTAGGTAATGTCAGGTGTCTAATCATGTCTCCTTGAATAAACTTGACTGCACTTGATTATTTTTCTATACATTATTTTTACAAATGCTACTTTCTTACGGTCAAACACTGGTTTGAAATGAATAATGTTATGCTCTAAAATCTTTGGATTTCTTTACGTAATCATTTCCACTATAAGCAAATACAATATTCCTTGAAACGTGTGTCTTTTATATTTTCCCTATAATGTTTGAGTTTTATTGAAAAAGGACACAACAATGAAGACTTTTTTGTTTCTTTCTGTTTTTCGAAACTAAAAGAAAATCTGCCGAAATTGAGGTGGAATGATTAAAAAAAAAATATTAAAAAAATACCGGTACTTAACGGTTGGCTACCTTATGAATATCAATAAATTCGATTTTGTTTTGTTCGTATAGAGCAGGCCTGCACAACATACGGCCCGCGGGCCGCATACGGCCCGCCAGCACCCACTTTGTGGCCCGCGAAGTAACGAAATATTATTTATTCTTATTATTTTCGTAATATCTTTCCACCCTGTCCTATCTTCTTTTGGCTCGCACAAGTCCTGTCCTATTTTCTTTGGGCCCGCACAAGTTTTTCATAAAGTATTTCGGCCCACCTTACATTTTGAGTTGTGCAGGCCTGGTATAGAGTATAGAGCACAGACCGTAAGCTGCTGCGTTGCACCATGTCGCACTTATTCATTATTGCATTTTTGGTGTGTCTAATATATATATATACATCAACAATGCCATTTACACTGAAATGAAAACTCAATGAAGTTCAACAGTATAAGTCCCATGGGGAAAAAGATACGTTCATTGATTTATATAAGCTAACTATTTTGTAATCATAAGACAGCAGTAGGCAGCCAGTGGTTTCGGAGTGTGTGCTTCTCTTAGAATGACTAATAATAATAATAATAATTAGTGGTCTTATATTGCGCGGTACCCCAGCCTAGGGTTGGGCTCACCACGCTGTACATAAAAATATTAGCAAATGAGACATAATCATGACATTAAAATAAAATACATTTATGAAATAAAGAACAGCGTTTAGCCAAAACAACAATGTATATTCACCCACCCCACCACAGAACTTTTACATGGCAAACCATGGACGGCAGCCAGCAGGGTCGTTTATCGGTCAGAAAAGGGGAATCAGTCATGGTAGTAGTGTTTAAAGAGATGTGTTTTGAGTGCCGTTTTGAAGGCCTGGGTGGTTGGTATATTGCGCATGTGTAGTGGCAAAGAATTTCATTGTTCGGGGGCGCAGAAAGAGAAAGTCACCATATGTTTTAGTGTGTGTCTTGGGAACGGACAGAATACGAGTGTCTGCGGAGGAGCGAAGCTGTCGAAGGGGTGAATAGACAGAAAGAAGTTCGGCTAGATAGGAAGGGCATGAATCTGAGGAAAAGTTGTGACAGAGAACAGAGAATACACTTTTAAATGCGCCTATGTTCATTATTAAAGCCACCCTTGATGTGGCTCCCTAAATAATTTCTTAGCAAAATTATTTCATAAAATGTCTCTTCACTCAAAGAAGGTTGCCAGCCTCTAGGGAAGGGATGGCCAACCCAAGTGTCCTCAGGGGCAATAAACTCCAAATAAGCGTTGTACATAATCATGTTTATATTGATTATTATTAATAATAATAATAATAATAATAAAGTGCATTTCAAAAACACGCTTCATCCCCAAAGGCAACTATTCTACGAATGACAACACATCTATACGTGTTACAACATACCAAAATAAATTTAACCGATTTTGATTGAGATTTTCATCTGTTTAGTCTATATCAAAGGTGTGGGTCATTTTTACTTTCATCAACGAGCGTGACGTGAGAAGCAGAATTTGAGAACACTGAACGCAGGCCAGTGGCGTAGCGAGGGTGTTTGGCGCCCGGGGACAAGATTCGCGCCCGGGGAAAAGATCCATTTTTAGCGCCCCTTTTTCTTTTTTTCAACTCTCAAACCCATTATTTTCATCAATAAAATAATATCAAAGCGCATTTTGGCGCCCCTAACTAGCTGGCGCCCGTGGACAGCTGTCCCCCCCCTGCCCCCACCACGCTACGCCTCTGACGCAGGCTCCCGAACGAAGGTGTTGGGCGGTGTCTGTGTCTCCCCAGAAACGTTTTTAATGCTTCAAAATGCAACAGAAGAAATGCTACTGGAAATATGGGTACTCCTTAACATGGTTACGTTTATAAAAATCGTTTATTTTTAGTAGCAAATAAATAGTAATGTTCCGTTATAATTTTTTACTGAAGAGGTCTAAGATTGTTAATTGTATTGAAAATGCTGCCTGATCAATATGCTACATAAAAGATTTTAAAACAGCTATGGAAAACCTCCTGGAAGGTCAGGAGTTTAATGTTGTGATTCATGTGGCCAGAAAAACCTGCATTTGGACAAAGGGGTCAATGTAAATGTTCAATAACAAGCGAGGTGGATTTGGTAACTGTGAGACAGGAGCTTGAAAAGCGAGATATGTATCTTCACAGCAGAGACCCTATGAGGATCAGCGAAACTCATCGTACATGTCAAAGCAACTCTTAAGAAAACATGTTCTTTTTCAGACTTTTTCTGTATCTTTGAAAGACAAGACCCACAAAACTACATCCTAATATATTTGTAATTATCTCAAACAGCACAGCGAGACACGGGTAATCCGCTAGTTTATTTATATGTAGAAGTCAACATATTTTTAATTCTACTTCTAGGATTATGTAACGGAGAGAGCTTTGAACCGTTGACAAACCCATAGTCGGCATAGTCGTGTTCAAGATTCGGCAGTTTAAGTATTAGTTTTGGCGTATACTATACATGGCATCCTTCTGTCTTCGTAAGACGATGGAATGGCTACTGACACTTCATCAAATGGCTTACGGTGCCGATTTAAGAATAGCTGTCTTGGCTGCATGTCTCGCAGTTTACCGCTTATTTACACTTAAATATTACCACTCAAAGAAGGTATGTTTGTTAATTATTACAAATAACAGTCGTTTCTTATATGATTTAAAGTATTTTTTTGTTGGAATGGCAACGCATATTTTTTAAATATTTTAAAATACAAAATGCTTACGAGACAGCTTTATCAACAACTTCTTGAAACTTGTCTCTTTTCGTCTCTAAGATATTTGTGTTAGCTAATGACAAAAATGTTGTAAATCTCACTATTTACAATAAATTGTCTTTAATATCGGTATACTTTTTCAATATAAACACCGTTCACTCATTAGTGCAAAGAAATAATATGTTTAGTGATGTTATTCTAAATCCAAAAGTGACAAAAATATAATTTAATATACACAATTAACGTAAATCTATTGAAAATGTACTAAAGTTATCCATTTAACTTAAATATATTTTTAAATAAATTAAATCTTTTTCATACTCTTATTGCAAGAAGAAATTGTTTAATTATTTTTGTCAATTTCTAACATTAACAAAAATCTGGCAACATATTATTAGTAACGTAAGGCTTGTTTCTCGTATGTATGTATTGACGTTGTTTCTAATTCAACTGTACACATTATTTTGATAATTTTAAAATTAATGATATTTTGGTATGGATTATAGAACAAACGTAAATTTTTTGCCTTAATAAATTTATATTTACAGCTGTCATTACAAGACAATGGCCAGAAAATCTCCATTAGTTGAGACAGTTGTCTTCATTTTGGCTGTTCTGTATCTTTGTTTTTCTTCAGTGACAGAGGTAGGCAGTTTTCCTACTCAAGTCACTGATTGAGTCGATTTCATTAATTTGTGTAATTAATTTAAAGAAGTTACGTTTATTTTTAGACAAAAATTCCAATATCTTAAGCTATTTAGTTTTGTTTCTTCTGTCAACTTTTTTCGTGTAAAGTAATATCAATAAATTTATTGATTAAAGTTAAAGTTATTTCAAAAAATATTTCTCCATTTTTAAATTAAAGTGATAGAAAAACTTGCATCTTAAGTTAACATATTTGAAAGTAATTTATGCTTTATGAATTTTTTAATTATAAAAGTAAAATACAAGACAGTTGCAGGAACTTAGTGAGAAGTTTGACTTTTTTTGAGTGGAGACACTAATTCTTTGGTTAGGAGAAAGTACTTGCAATTCTCAGTGGGTTTTCAAGTGCTCATAAGATATTTTGATTCTAGTTAGTTTTATTATGCTTCAGCCCTGAAAAAAGCTGCTCACAAATGTAAAAGCTTGTATTTTTATGAGTAAAATACAATATTTTTGTCCCAAAATAAAAACAAATTGTACTGGATTAAAAAAGTACACCTCCATGCATCATTTTTTTTGTACAACGCCATTCAGCCCTCATTGAGGCCATTGTCACATTGTGGTATAAAGTAAAGTATACAAGAACACTAACACAGAAATTAAAAATCCCTTAAAAACCAACAAAATATAAATTATAAGACAAACTAATTGGAAAACAATAAATGATCAAAATATATTTATTACGTTGATAATATTTATAATGATCAATCCTCAAGTATAGTGAAATAGTGTAATTTCATCTTTATCCTTGGGCTTAATTTTTTGGTTTAAATTTACCCAGCCGTATTGTTGTATTGTTTAGTTATTTTCCTTTTTCTTAGGCTGCTAGCTTTGAAGATACAAGGTGCAAATGTGTTTGTGTCAAAACATGGGATGCCCAAGGGAAGAAAACAAGAGCTGTGTTTACCAATACAACAAGAAGTGAACTTTGGTAATTATATTAATATTTCCATATGTTACGACCTTCTTTCTATTACGGAATGTGTGCACTTCAAAATGTTAGGACCTTCTTCTTTTGAGGACGTTCCATGTGTCAAATGTTATGACTGTTATTTGTATTGCTGAAATTTACTGGCACCGTTACCTAACTATATTGCAAAACAACCATGGTTGGTCCACACTTTTGAGCAACAACCAACGTTCAATGAAAGTAGTTCTGTCATTTCACCAAACTTTCTTAATAAAATCATCACTACACAGACTCTTATCCTCAGATCACTCTAGAGTCTAGTCCCATTTACTAACCAGAACTTGCACCTTTTCACACTGTAATGGTAACTCAGCATACTGACAACACAAATTAACTCCATGAACTGACTTTGTGTCACCCGACCAATAATAACTTGCCCTGACAAATCTTCTCACCAACTCACAATCAACAACTTTCATAAATAATCTAGTTCCCAAATCCAGTTCATAACACCATATAATTAATAGCTTAACATGCTATACAATCTATACTTGGAATGCTTACTTTAGTTACCTGGTACTATAAAGTCAAAATCTTTTCTTCTATCTAAAACAAATTGTACTGTGCACATATAAATTATTAAATCAATCCAATGGTGTGGTCATTAAAAAAGGTCAGAGAAAGAAATATAATATGATTCGTAAGCATAATATGCAATTCACTGGAGAAGTTACATGATCTAAAAGTTTCACAAATTTCGTTGGTTATTGAGAATTTCATCTCATGATGTGAGCTTGATAAATATGTGAAAGCAACACATGATTTAAAAAAAAATAATAATAATAAATATCGTTTTGAGGGATTGGGGGTGGGGGGGGGGGGGTTTACATGAAAATAACATGCACCTTACTTAACTGATTTTTAAATTTAAATTGGCGGTGGATATTTTCATACTTATGAATGAAAAGAAAGATATTTAATTTTTGTGTCTCAAAAAGTTAAAATACATTTAGAATTTTTATAAAGGAGCTAAAATTTTCTTTAATAAATATGTGAAAGCAACACATGATTTAAAAAAAAAATAATAATAATAAATATCGTTTTGAGGGATTGGGGGTGGGGAGGGGGGTGTTTACATGAAAATAACATGCACCTTACTTAACTGATTATTAAATTTAAATTGGCGGTGGATATTTTCATACTTATGAATGAAAAGTAAGATATTTAATTTTTGTGTCTCAAAAAGTTCAAATACATTTAGAATTTTTATAAAGGAGCTAAAATTTTCTTTCAGTGACTGCGAGCATGTTGTCACACCAGTTGCACCTAAATTACCTTGTCCTCGATGCTTGTGTCGAACTGAGACCAGAAATACAACTACTATTAAAGTAAGTTATAGTTCAAGAAAATCAGCAGTTTTAATATATATATAGGCAAAAACCAAGAACAAGCAGCTCTATATTATGAATCCCCAAGTTTGAACCAACACTTGTCAGAAAATTAAAATTAATATGAATAAAATGAATCAAAGTTTTATATTTTGCCCCACTAATCTCTAACCTGTAATTATATGAACACTTTTGGACTGCTACAACTGTCAGGTGTAAACCCCAGCAAAGTTTCCTTCTGCATTATACCTCAATGAATTGTCATCATTGGAGAACATACACATAGATGAAACATTTTTATTAGAGAGAACTCAATTTGTGATTATCAGATCTATGTCCCTTAGATTGTCACAAATTAATGCTAATTTTGTATGTCCGAAAATTCAATTTATCCTTTGCTAAAATGGCTTTCCTAGTATATGTGTATAACACGCAATTTTGTTAATAGTTTGTATAAAAATTTAGATAAATTTATGCAGAAACTTAACTTCTCTTATAAGCTGTTTTAAAAAAAAAATTAAAACATTTAATGTATATTAAGCCAAATAACTTTTTGTTTTGCAGGTTGTTGTCATTTTTATCATCTGTGTAATATCCCTCCTGTTTGTGTACATGCTGTTTTTGATGTGCCTCGATCCAATCATTCAAAGACGACCAACCAGTTATCAACAACACACCAACGAGGAGGTGAATTTGGTAACCAACTGGCTGCGCGTTAACAGCGGCTTTTCTATTTCATTTCCTATGGGGAGGCTGAGGGGTGTTGCCCGAATTCAGGCTTATTATCAGTTTGTTTTTGTTTTATTTCCTGCCGCTTGACCCTGCTACACAGTCTTTAAATTTTCAAATTTTACTGATAAAAACGCATGGCAACATATATTTAAATGGGCTATTCGTGTAATTTTTCTTTGTTTAAATGGCTTGTATTTTTTTTTAATATTTAATTTTACTATAGTTTTTTATGGCCAGGTTTAAACCAGGGGTGTCCAACCTTTTAGCTTCCCTATGCCACATTGGAAGAAGGCAAGTTATTTGGGCCAGATATTGGATAACTGATGAGAAACAAAAATAGAAAAACTTGCATCTTAAGTTAACATATTTGAAAGTAATTTATGCTTTATGAATTTTTTAATTATAAAAGTAAAATACAAGACAGTTGCAGGAACTTAGTGAGAAGTTTGACTTTTTTGAGTGGAGACACTAATTCTTTGGTTAGGAGAAAGTACTTGCAATTCTCAGTGGGTTTTCAAGTGCTCATAAGATATTTTGATTCTAGTTAGTTTTATTATGCTTCAGCCCTGAAAAAAGCTGCTCACAAATGTAAAAGCTTCAAAATAGTGATTATATGTATAATGCATGACTGTGAAGTAATGGATCTTTTCTCTGGGAATATATGTCTTATAGCAGTCCAGTTAAGAGACATGATAACATTTTCTTTAAGTTGAATGTCAGATTTTAACTCTATGCATTTCCTGTGACATAGGCAGGTAATAAATAATATGTTTATGTCTCTGAAAAGGCAGTCGCAAATGTACCAAAAGATTGATGATTTTTCTGGAAATCTTGAAACCTGTTCTCAAATACCCTTATGAAATTGAAAAGGAGCGGTATACATATTTCATTGTTCACAGAACCATGTTTAGCCAACTTGTCGAGATGCAAAAAAAAAATGGTTTGCCTTTATTTGAGATTGCCATAATTACAGTTTCATTTTAAATGCTGCTATAGTTTGAAACAATGTATTTATCAGTTGGTTTCACCCTTAACTCACGTTTAACTCATTTAAATAAGTGGTCAAGTGTACTATAAACACCGTTTTTGTGTGTAATTTTTCATCATCAAATTGTGGCACATATTTTGTTTTTGATTCCGTAAACTACTTAATTTCACGGTAATCAGAAAATATTTTCAACATTTTACCTAAGTTATCAATTTTACCACCAAAAAGTCACCATCAATAAATTTGATCAATTCCTGGAATTGGCAATGTCAACCCCTTGGCCTTGATGAAAACTGTATGACGATATCAATCTTTAATGCTTTAGCGCATACATTTACTTAGGATACCATGCAATGATATTGAATGATACACATATTTTGAAAGGCAAGTGGATCGTTTTCTATTATTTTAAAACTTTTATTTTTTCTTATCACCAATGCGGCACAATCAATACTTAACCAGATATGAACATCACTTTAAAGTATTTTTCATAGTTTCTTATAAATCTCTTGAATTAGCTGTACCTTTTAATGGCACTAGAGAATCTATGTCTTCAGTGACATTATATTCATCATCATTATCTCTAATGGCAATGTCAAAACATTTTAAGTTTAGGATCTTTTTTTTTTGGCAGCGTTCATCTCCGCCCAGGGCCGTTTGTGGGCTGTTGGTTGGATATCCTTGGTTTAAACATGAGATGATCCCGGTTGTTATTGAACCATTCTTGAAACTGAAAATTAGGGTTACGCAATTTAATTGGTAGATAATCGGTAATGGAAATAATGGGCCATTTTGCATTAATCAAAATAATCAATCGGCTAATCTGCCTACAGTGTTCTAGATCTTAGATTTAAATTTAGATTTAATTTGGGTGGTATTAGTAGATTCTTGCATGTTTGATTAGGAGTCTTCCTATTTGTACCAAAATTAGACCTTTCACTCAATGACAAGAGACACAATTATGATTACATTTTCATCATGAGCTGTTAAGCTTCACTATCTTAATATGATGTAATAAACTACTTTGATGTTTTTGTTTTGTTATTTCATCAATTTAACCATGCTAGAAATGATTTTTTTTGTTGAAAATATCATAGTGAATTTTAAATCCTGGGACCATTAATATAAAGAAATGCCAATTAAGAAAATAAAGGAGTCGATTGAAATGTTTTGTTATATAGCTGAAATCATTTTAGCCCGACTCATTTCAAATTATCCTGCATTTAAATCAGTGGAATTTTTAAAAAGGGCAATCCTAACATCTCTACCAGATATCCATTTTTAACAAGGATAATTTCTGCATAGTTTAAAAAAATTATATTTAAAAACAACGCTTCATCAAAGTTAATTGTTTCAAATTGAAGTTGCATGTCTAACGTTGTAACATCTATGTGGTATCCTACATTCACCCTAAAGCAATTTTAATTTCCTTTTTTTTTTACATATCAGTGTTTCTCAAATTATGTCTGTAGGCTTGGCCTTTATTACATGATCAAAACCTTTACAAAAAGGGTTGCTTTTAAATGTCTTCCCAATTATTTTCTTTTTATCCTCTATCTTTTGCTACTTTTTATGCATAATGTTCCAGTGGTTCCCAACCTGTGCCTAGCTGAGCCCTAAGGGCTGTGCAGGCATTTCTCAGGGGATCCGTGGCCGCAACCCTCCCCTGTAAAACTGCTTCTAAACGCCAATAATTTGTATGTGCAAGGGCTCCCCCATAGAAATTTATTTTTAACGGGGGCTCCATGAGTAAAAAATGTTGGGAACCACTGATCTAAGTTAATTTGCCCTTAAGGTTTAAGGCGGTTTTTTTATAAAGAGTTTTACTAAATTACTTTTTACACTTAAGTAATGGAGGCATTCTGCAAAAACTCAGATTTTAGACCAAAATATGATGCATCAGCTTAAAGATAGCTAGAATAAAGTAACAGTTTTCTAAATGTCTCTTATTGTAATAATTCTTGTCCATGCTGAAAAATACACTAAATACGTTTAAGCCACTACAAGCATATTATAATTTATATTGTATAAAAATAATGTAAAATTATTGTCAAGACGATATATCTTCATTTATTGTACATATGTTTATAAAAATTTTCCCCATACAAATATTTTTCTACCCCTTTGTTTCTTTTGTGTTTTTTTTCAGTCAACTGAGGCCTCAGAGGTTTTTGTAAAATATTTTTTAGCCTTCCCCTTTTTTTATAATTATTCTTTTATCTTTGAGTGTCAAGCTTAATACATGATATATCCAAAAAAATGTCTGTCTAGCATGGGTTTCCTGGTGTTATCCTTGATACTTTGGTAGTAGTGTAACTAAATAAACTTTTTACATTTCTGCATTTATTTATTTTAGAAGTTTAAAATAAAAACTTAAATAAATCTATAAGTTTTAGTTATAGATGTATTTAAACAAAATATTTAAGTTAGTATTATTTAATCTCATGTTAAAACATTATTTTAGACATTTTTTTTTAAAGGCTGCAACTTTTCGCACCCGGGTACCAGAAGTAAGGTGTTGGGATTCAAAAACTATTTAAAATTTTATTGTTGGGTTTATAAGACAAAATGAGGTATCAAATGAAAGATAGTGGATGGACTATATGTTGGTAACTTACTCCTTCAGTTTAACTAAAATAAACTACCATAAATGGCGTCCGAATAGCATTGAGTCTAATAGGACCCGGTCGCGAATGGCGGCGCTGCGTGTCCTGGGCAATCTTGACTTAGGAAAGTGTACAGTTATAATTTCTCAACTCAACTATTTGAAATCAGTAACATATTACAGTTTCTTTAAATCAGTAACATTACAGTTTCTTTCTTTTAAATCTCAAGAAAATCAATTTCACAAATTTTTAAAAGTAATATAACTCTAGTAACAAGTTACACAATATATATTACTAATAGAAAGAAAAACCTGGGGTAGGCTCCGAGCAAACTTTCTTAGTTTTAACATGGCTTTTGAGTATTACATTGTTTGGCATATACATAAAATGGTGATGGTCTGCATGAAAGTTACCTTACTAAACATAATCCTAAGGATGTGCTCACTGTCTTTTTGTCGCACTAAGGTAGCAGTAGTAATGGCATGCCTGCTTCTACATAGAATTGTAAACTTCCTGTCAGAATTGTAGTGAAACTTTAAAACTGAAGCTTGTCCTTGACTTAACCAGACATTCCTTTATTGGTTGGGATTTAATTTTAAAAAAATATATATATCCTTATTCTTGCATGTTTTAATAAATTATCTCAAATACATTATTGGTTCTAGTTTTAATCTTAATCTGAATATTTAAAAAAAAAAAATTATCTGGCATGGATTTCTGCCCACTACATGTGTGTAGATGCTTTTAATGATAGGTTGGTACTCCTTGTGAAAGATACTTATGTATGTCTACTATGAGCCAAGTTACTGGAATCAAATTCTTGTGAACACTTCTTGCTCCTTTATATTATAAGTACCAGTTTCTTGCTATGGTATTCATTACATTTTTAAATGAATTGAAAAAGTCCGTTTCTATTGGAACATATTTTGTGCATTTGATTATAAAAATATTTAACTTTAAAGATATTCAATTATAAACTTTTTATAACAAGATGTTTAAGTGTTTATTTATAAGCGTCATAAAAAAAAATAAACAAGTGCCTTAATATTAACATTTAAAAAAAAAAAAGGTCTTTTTGAAGTAACTTTAATATAAATCCTCTTTCTTCTGTTGATAATACCTTTGAGAAAATCCACAATTTTAAAACATTAAATAATGGATTTTGAGACCAAAAAAAATTTTAGTTAAAACTTTCTTTTATTCTTGACTTTGTCAAGTTATCTTTGATTTGTTCCTTTTCAAATCTTAATTTAAAAATTAAAAAAACAGTTCTGTTCAATTGGAAAACAAGATATTTTGATGGTGAAAAATTAATGTTTTCTCTTTTCCCAGGAGGATATGTCTGGTACTAGATCAGAAGGGCCAGTAACTCCACCCCAGGGGGCAACTTCCGACTTGGCCGCGAGACAGAGGTCACTGCTCAACATAATGCAGAAAGAACAAAAGAAGTGGAAGGGAACTGTACAGGAACAGCGCAGGAACATTTATGACAGACACTCCATGCTCAACTAAGAGATTCCAGCCATTGAAAAAAAAACCCACTTTGCTTGTTGTGAGGGGTTCGGCTAATTTTATTTTAAAATCACCGTTGTCTGACTGTAATCAGATATACACTCCATGAATTCTATGTCTTTACATACTTATACGTTTAGAGTGGTGGGGTAGTGAAACGTAATGTTTTTATATTCAAGTACATACAAATTATTGTTTAAAAAATTGGCTTTCATATATTTGGATATTTAATTAAAATATCTGCTAGAACTGGGTGATACATTCTCTGAATGTCTACTGCTAAATAGAGTTTGAATTGCGATAACAGACCTTGTTACTCTTTTGATTTTTAATTACAGTGTACGATTTTGTCTTTTATTAATTTATGATTGTAGATCAAAACCTGTCAAAACTGCAATTTTTAAGAGACCGGATTGAAAAAAATATGCCTGTAGTTTTTAAAAAATTTAAACAACAATACATAGCGTTGTTAGTTTTATCTCTTGCCATACATCAGGGCGTGAATGGACAGAGAGAAATATGAATTGTTTGGGGCAATCCAAAAATCCTTTGATTTATGCGTTGAAATGGGAAGCAGGTGATGTTGACTTAAGAGTGTACAGGTATGGGTGGGGAGGTGTCTAAATATTTTAAAGGCTATTTCATTTTTTGGCATTGTGAAAATGGAGAAAACTACAGATTTTTTATAAAGATGCATCTTCAACTGATCGTCACAGCAGTGTAAAGTTTTGAAAAATTATATACAATCTAGTTATTGGCATTTGAAATCTGTTTTTAGGAATCACTAAGCATCTGTGAAATTTTAATAGGGGAATAATAAGGCGAGAGACTGCAATCAGGTTAGTACAAAATAAAATGATTAAAACAGAGTAGGGTTAAACCTGAAAAAATACACGCAACGAAACAGCGAACGTGTCGGCAGAAAGCCTTCGTCAGCGAACAAAACAACAGAAAAAACGGTATAAAAATAAGAAATAGCACTTAGCTGGAAAGTAGTATCTGTGGGCAGCAATAGAAGTCTTCTATTGCTGCCCACAGATACTACTTTCCAGCTAATTGCTATTTCTTATTTTTATACCGTTTTTTCTGTTGTTTTGTTCGCTGACGAAGGCTTTCTGCCGACACGTTCGCTGTTTTGTTGCGTGTATTTTTTCAGGTTTAACCCTACTCTGTTTTAATCATTTTATTTTGAAATTTTAATACCTCACTTTTGTTCCAGCAATCCTTTTCCCAATACAGCTTGCAGTACTTATTAGAATAGAAAATGTGAAAGGAAAATACAATCAGGCTCCAAGGCTTAATGCAGAGGTGGCCAATCTGCAGTCCACCACTTTAAATAGCATTGCCTACCTGATGTATCTCTTATGAACTTATTTCTTCATTCAATCAGCAATTATTTTCATTATTTGCATAATTGCACATTTGAAATATATAAAAATCACGTTTTTGCAATGGTACACACCATTTTCGGACTGATTTTAAAAAAGTAGATTAGAATAAGATCTGAAATCTGAAGAAAATTTTATGAAAAGTTTTTACTATTGAGTAATTACTGAAATTAAAGGAAACAGCTAAGTAAAGGGGACCAAATTTTTCACAAGCATGGCTTCAATTATTCTCCACTTAAGTGTAGAATGATGCAAAGCTATAATCATGTAAAAGTCAAAGTTCATTCTGCATTTTGAATTTATAAAAAATTTTCTAGGATGCAACCAAACACCGCCCGCCTCCCTTTGCGTGAAGGACCAGTGGGCATCCTTGATTTCTACTCCCCCACTCCATCATCTTTTATCAAAGTGGCAGTTTATTTACTCCTGCATTGTACAATGTTGAGATGTTAAAGTGCTATTCTGAAATAATAGGTACTATTTTGGGAGTTCAAGGGTAACCGGGTCTGTAGTAACATTCCCGACATGATGAAACCAACCTTTTATTTTTATTAAACATGCTAAAAAGAATACAAAAAACTTCTCATTAAGAATTTATTAAAGCTAAGGAAATATAAACATTTTTATTGGAGATTATGCCATATGTATCTAAGACATTGTGGTTGATTGGATAAAATAATTTATTGTTCGTTCTCATGCTTTTAAATGTATTTCATCAATATTCTTATTTTAAATATTTTTTAAAACTAATAATTTATTAATGTTGTTTTTATAATATGTAAAAATTCTTCCTGTTTTAAAATATGGTAAATCTTTATTTATTTCAAATTATGGCTTTTGAAAATCAAACGTCTTCAAGGAGCACAAACTAACAATTAATCCCATATTAACTAAGTCTTCATTTAATGCAGCTTTGTAAGACCTGCTCATTAACATCATTAGTTAATATTGGAATGAGCAGGTCAGAAACTTGTTAAGAGGTGTGCAATAGAACTTAAAGAATTAACTTTTTAAAATAATTTTGTAATTTAAATAATATGGTACTGGGTATCTAAATGTGATGAAAAAATATCATGTGAGATTTAAGTTATGATCTGTAATCCTCTCATAGCTCCAGTGTTGAGCTTGTGATCAAAGGTGGTCTGCAGAAGGAGCAACATCCAGCCATGGTGGAATGAATGAGTCTGTAAGGCATACTCCTAGCTCCAGTGTTGAGCTTGTGATCATAGGTCTGTAGAAGGAGCAACATCCAGCCATGGTGGAATGAATGAGTCTGTAAGGTATCTTGTGTAATCCTCTCATAGCTCCAGTGTTGAGCTTGTGATCAAAGGTGGTCTGCAGAAGGAGCAACATCCAGCAATGGTGGAATGAATGAGTCTGTAAGGTATCTTGTGTAATCCTCTCATAGCTCCAGTGTTGAGCTTGTGATCATAGGTCTGTAGAAGGAGCTACGTGAATGGAATGAATGAGTCTTAAGGTACCTTGTGTATTGTGGTTGCATTTATCTTTTCATGTTAAGTTTTCTAGTATCTTCATTATGCCATGAACTAATCTTTGAGTTTATCACCACTTTATCTTAGCATTACACAACTCTGGGACACTAGTCTACTTTCTGTTTTGTTTGACTTAAACATGATAAGATAGGACTCACTATAAGAGTCTGTTCTCTGTGTTCATGTACTTTGTTTTGGCTGACATCTCTACCAACTCATATAGACATAGCTATCATAAAACCTACTAGTCACATCAAAGTGACAAATATTCATAGGAAATTAGAGTATTTTCAATAAAAAACATCATTCTACCATTGTCATGGAGATATTGCCTTGTTTTAACCTTGTTTCTATGAATTTTTAGAATTCATCACCTGCCAATTAGCCGTTTAAGTCATAATTAGTGCTCACACAACTGTAAGTTTCAGATCAAAGCCATAAAACTTAGAACTAACTACCGGTACTGTGAATCAATTTTGTCAAATGACCAGAATATATGGATTTGTGTGTATACCGACTACGCCATCATGGTTAAACAAACTTTCACAAAATCTGCCTTTAGACTTGGGCACTGTATTCAGAATTATTTTTCTTCTTATATTCCTTGTGAATATAAAACTATATTCAGCAATATATACATATATAAATGGGATAGTGTTTTTTAATGCCTTGTTATGAAAGCAATTATATTATAATTTAAATTTCACAACATTGACATTGCCAACATCTTGGCGGTTAGCAATCCCACTATAGTCTAAAATATAATATAACCTCTTTTAGTTCTGTCATAAAACAGCTTTGTACGTTATGTCATTTAGTTCCCCTTATGAACCTTTGATCATGTTGAACATGTAGGTGTTTTGCCATGTGTATGTGTTTTGTTTGCCGTCTCCCATTGAATGCACCCTAGACACCCCATGTAAATATATGTACACACATTAATCATGAGAATTTGTTGAACAATGTTCCACAATAGAACATTCCTTGCTGTATGTCTATTTATTTGCTCTGTGTACAAAGATTCCAGGACACAATACTCATAAAAATCATAGAGGTAGTTGATGTGAATCAAGATGATGTAAGGAGTCTGTTATTGTGAAAGGCAATGCTGCTTGTGTTAGTGTTCAATAGTCAGTTGTATTGTAGAAACAAAGAAGCTGGTTAGATTGATTTCTTTTGGATGTCAGCTTGTCACTTTATCAATAAAAACATTGAAATGTTTTAAACGTATGTCTTATGTTATTCATGCATCCGTTGCTTAGCTAGACTTTGTCTATTGTGTAGCCCCGGTAAGTTCTTGAGTGTGCAACCCTACCCACCCAAAAGACAACTCAAAACATACACCCATAAAATACAACTTTGACAATAGTTCGAGAGGCCAGAAAGAGTGTGAGAAATAACCCATTTTGTCCCCCCCCCCCTCCCCCTCATAAGTGTGCAACCCCACCCACCCAAAAGACAACTCAAAACATACACCCATAAAATACAACTTTGACAATAGTTCGAGAGGCCAGAAAGAGTGTTAGAAATAACCCATTTTGTCCCCCCCCCCCTCCCCCTCATTTTTTGTGTGGTTCTTCTGCCAAATCATGGTGAAGTTCACAGAGACAAATGAATACCAATCATCCTAAGAACAAGACGTGTTATTGTTCATTTCCCATGTGAAGCATGTCATTATTTCTACATTACTTTAGACAAAACTATGACAAATATTCTTTGAGGTCCCTTAACTTTGGGGTAAGTTAGCCTCTGATCACCAGTGCAAGCAGACGCCTCGACAGAACAGACCAGTGGCCGAGCTAGGAGCTTTAGATAAGTTGTAGGTGAGCACCTGCAGCCCCATTCTCGTACCAGCTAAGCTACTGGTAGGCGAATTTCTATCTTCGTTCAAACACGGGATCCAGGCTTAAGACAACGTATCCGGAAATTTGACTGAAAGAAATTTCGTCAACGGTAATTTGATCGAACGGAAATTTGGTTGAACCTTTTATTCAGTTTTTACGTTAAACTTATGCTTCAATTCAAAGTTCTTTTTGAACGCTTTCTTTTGTTTGACTATATTAAAGTAGAGTGCGTTCAAAAAGAAATTTGACGAAAATTTTAACGCGTGAACTGAAAAAAATTTCGAACAAATTTCCGTTTGATCAAATTTCCATCCATTCTGATGCTCTTTGTCATGTGATTAAAAAAAAAATAATTGTGTGGTTCAAAGTACCTTAAAATTGAATAAACAAATGTCAGTTCTCATACAGGGCGATCACTAAACTTAAGTCCAACGTCAGCACTACATAATGATTTTGTCGTCACAAAAATGTCCCTTGAATTCCATGGGGCATTTGGAGCGCTGTCGGAAAAAAAGTAAATAAATTCAAGTTCAAGATTTGATAGAAACTTACAAATAATAATAACCACTGTCCCAATTTTAAAAAAAGAATGAAAAACAAATGAGACTGCGATTCGTGATAAATCGCATAAATCATTCAATTATATTGTCTATGATTATTATTTTATATTTGAATCATAAAGTATATAATGACTATTTTATATTCTCTATAAGTAATGGAATAAATGCAGACTTCAAATTCCCAGATCGATTTTTAGGTCTTCGATGGGTATCTTAGCAATAAAGAATATACCACAACTATATATTGGTCTATTAATATGTTTTTTTTCATAATTTGAACTAATTTTAAATGAAATGTAGGCACTCTTAAAGAAATTAACTGGCGGCCCAGGTCAAATACAATTTAAGTTGAAAAGTTGAGCTCCTTTTATGCCCTCATTACAAAGTTAACATTGATATTGTATGTGCTTAAATATGAAAGCGACAAAGAGAGCTCTCATAAAATATTTTTCAAGTAGTTGCAATAAAAAAAACAACAACAGAAAACACACCTTATTTTGTTAAAAGATCCAGATAAGATAGTCAAAGAAATAAAAAGAAGTAACGCCGAATTACAAAGGTTTCAGTTAGGACTGAGTTGAGTTGCGTCACTATACATTGGGTTATAAATAATTAGGACAGAGTTGAGTTGCGTCACTATACATTGGGTTATAAATACTTAGGACAGAGTTGAGTTACGTCACAATACAAAGGGTTCTGTTATGATAGAGAGGAGTTATG